TATATATATATATATATATATGTATGTTTCCTGGTGTTTCTATTACCTGCAGGGGGCATAATACCTCCACATTTCCAACTTTAAAAAAACTTGTGTTAAATAGAAAGCCCTGGAGCTCCCCAAAGGAAGATAAATTTAAAAGGCCTTTAATGGAGAACTTTGTTCCACCATCAGCCACGTAAGCAGTGACAAATGAGCACTGCAGTGTCAGAACGACGGATAAGCAAGAAGCTGCATTCGTACTTCTGGTTCTTTTAGTCTCACGTAATCCGAACAAGGGAAAGAAGGCGCCTAAAGATTTTTTTTCTTTAACCATTTTTGGATTGGCAAACTCTCTCCTGAAACAATTAGACGAAACAATTGCCGCGAAGAGCAGATTCTGTGCCCGGCCTGATGTCTGTTAGCTCCCAATTCTCTTCCATGATGTTCTCTATAGGAATATAAAATCTGCAGTGTCAGAATTCGTCCGTTCACAAAGTCCGTCCTTTCTCTTCTGGTTTTGTGGCACGGTCTACTGTTGTAAGAGGGTAGAGTACAATTAGATTCTAAGAAGTATATCATTACGGAGTTGGGAAAAGCAAGCTTTCAAATGCTACTCTATAGCCTGTGCTTGGAGCAATTCACCACTTACCGTTCTGCCCAATCTCCTTCAGAGCGCCGAATCCCCTACGAAAAAGACAATCTAAAACAGCGTTTCCCAACCACAGCAACTTGAAGATGTATGGACTTCAATTCCCAGAATCCCCTAGCCACCAATGGAGATCTCACACTTCCCCCACCCCCAGATGCGTCTTCCTGCCTCAGCCAGTTTTATTCTCACAGGTTAAGTTTACATACGAAATGCTAACCACGGTATAATTAGCGTGGCGTGTGAATTCCAGCCTTTAAATGGTTTGCAAACCACAGTTTTTGGCCTAGTGTTACAATTCAGAGTGGGTGAGGATGTTAACCTATCCTCCCCATTCTTAGCTAGACACCCGAACCAATACTGCTAACAATGGAAACTGAACAAACCAGTTTGAGCTTATGTAAACCAGCTGAAAGTTGCGATCATCACCTCTCCTGCTTTGCGGTATTTTCCTCAAGACAACGTAAGGAAGTATGAAGATGGGTATTTTTTTAAAAAACAAAGGACATTCTGGTTTTTCTGCATGACTGGGAAAAATTCTCTTAAGAGAACTGGCCTTTTTTAACCCATTGTTCAAAATGCAGAAATATTACCTCATGGGATTCACCACTTGGTCGGCCTCTCCAAGTTCTCCGTATGCTCAAAGCACAATTTATTTTCCTCTATTCATGACTTTAAAGTCCAAGCGGAAGAGTGGAGCGAATACCATAACCAGTACGGCAGGGAGAGTTACTCAGAATCAACAGGGCCTCCCAAAATAATAAACTGGATTCAAAGCTAGCATCAGTCTTGGTTTGTTTAACCGTGGTTGATTAAATAAATCAACATTCCCTAGGTTTGAGACTTAGGAATACTCTTAACTAGGACACCGCCTACATCATCGGAATTAATTACCTTTTTAAATCCCAACCTGAGCAGTAGTTTGCATAACAAAATATTAACCTGTACTGTTAATGTAATTCTTAGAAAAAAGTCCCTTTTTTTTTTCTTCTGTCATGTGCTTTCATTTACCTTTGTGGGGTATTTATAAGGAAAATAATAATTTATAACCCCTCCCCAGCTTTCTCAGCCACCTGGGAATGGAAGTTTTCTGGCATCCCAGAAAACAGCAGCAATGCTTCTAGTGCAAGAAAGCAAAAAAAATTTTTTTTGAAAAAAAAAAAACCCCACATTCCTGTAATACGTAATATTTCCAGCACTTTCTCCACTCTTCCTGTTAAGAGGGACATTTTTACTGGTAAGAGTAGAAAGGCCAGGAAACAATAGGAGCCATCAAGGCCAATTAAGTGCTATTACATTTCTCGGCCATCAGCCAAGCTTACCTTGGTTAATGGCCCCAAATGTCCAGTTGGCATCTTCCCAGCTCAAAGCTCCCTGGGACCAGATGGTTTTCCTGGCAGGCAGGGGGCTTTCGAATCAGACCAGCGTCCATGGGGCAAGCGTGGAGAAGGCGTCACCCATACCTTCAAAGCACCTGGGCTTTTCAACCATCACACTTGAGAAGACAAGAGGGGGTTACAACCCAGCTGTTAGGGTGGGCAGCTGAATTTCTCACGTTTTCCCGTTGTGAGAAGCTGGTGGGCTGGAGAAACCAGGCACGACCATGAACCCCAACAAAGGACTGGCAAACTGAGGAAGCCAAGCCATGACAAAGGTCTTTGAAGAACCTGTCCCATTGACCTTGACTAAGTTCGCGCACCTCATGCATACAAAATTCCTTCACCAAGACAGTCTCCTGAGTTATTAAAAAAAACCATCATGGTTGGGATGACACAGTCATGATGTCACTTGCTTGTTGATCAGGGTCTCAGCCAAACTCCGGTATCTTTGTCGGTGATTCACCCACGAGGGCTGATCCTGCCAAGTGCGGCTCATAAACGAAGGTTTATGGTTCATTGTGTTGAATGAACCCTACTAAGGATTTTGATAAGCTATGAATCAGTATAAAGACTGATTCAATAGATAATAGCATAAAGACGATTGTTTGTGACTTAGCATAACGTGTCAGCCTCCCTGTCATGGCTAAGCAAAGCAATGCCTTAACGTGTCAGAGCTCCATAATGGCCCCTTTCCCACATCACTCTTGGACTCCAAATAAAAACTAGCTTTTATTGCCCAACTAGGTTTATATAGTGAATAATGCTTATTTTAAAAATGCACTAATTTATCATGTACCCAGATGCATTTGAGATCTCGGTTTCTGAGAACTTCAGACATTTGATGGGCATCCTGGGAATCATTGGCTTCTTTGGGCCTTTTTACAAACCTGTGGATTAATAAGGTCAGTCTCGTAGTCCAATTATAATTATAATTATAACCATCTAGATATATAAAAGCGAAATACCACTCATGCACCATCACAAAATCTCCAGAACTGTAAAGCCTACAAATGTGAAATTTGGCATGTATGTTCCTCTTGGCTTCAAATTGCTCACTAAGAAAGGGTTTTTCAAAATGACCATCAGAGCATTTAGAGTATTCCCTATATTATTATTATTAACATACTCTGATGCTAAGGAGTTCTATTCCCGCTCCTCACCTAAAAAAGAAATCTCTTCCAAATGCAAAACACAAGCAGCGGAGAGGAATTTCAATTTTAGTTTCACAGCAACAAGCAGCTTTAGTACAGAACAGTTGTGCTAAGCCACGCCCAGGCTCCTTGCTGTTTCCTTGCTCACACAGCAAATACTTTTTCACTTTCCAAACAGCCCTCAACTCTCTCACATACTAACAGGACGCTAGCCAGATGAATACCGATGGATGCTGGTAGGCAGAGGCAGAATTCCCACCCACCCCGCCTTATTTTTCTCCCCCAAAACTAAGCCCGACCAC